AGCTGACTCTCCCTGTTGCCAGGTAAAGAGAGACTGCAAGGGGCTCAGGAGGAGGTGGAGGACTTCCAGGAGCCAGCAAGATTGAGGGAGCACCAATTCGGAGTTGATTTTCAGAGTTAGGCTTGAAAAGATAAATTGTACATTCTTCTGGCAGCAAATGTTTTATATTATGTTGTTGAACAATAAGATTAGTCTCCCTGCATTCTCCTACCCAAACCCCACCCCAAATATTCAGATTATCTTTGATGTTTTGTCCACTCTTTTTTTCTAAATGATTTTTAAAGCTATTTCAATCAAGCTTACAAAAATATTTTCCCGTTCCTTGGGAATAAATACACCATCAAGAAAACATAGTCTCAGACTCATCTGTCTGAGATATTTTTCCTTCTAATTTTTATGTAGAAGTTTTATAGTTTCTATTTATAAGTTTTAATTGATGTAAATGAAGTTGATCTTTAAATATTTTCCATTCTTGGTTACCTAAAATCTCTAATTCCTAAAGCCATTGTCATTTTTTATTACCCATGTTTCTTTTATTTTTTTTTTCCTGAAATGCCTTTTCCTCTTTAAATTACTATTTTTATACCCTTTTTCTATAATATCCAACACACATTACACATGGCAATGATGGACATCCTCACTTTGATCTTCTTTGCTTTTTTTCCTTATTTTTGTTTTTCTTTCAGGAGGAGCCTGCTGGGCCGCCCAAGCTGCCTTAACTCTTGGGCTCAAGCAACCCTCCTGCCTTCCAAGTATCTGGGACAACAGGCTGATCTTGTTTTAAAGGGATTTCTTTAATGCTTTTATATTATAGGTATTGTTCATTTTTTGTTTTATATTTTATTTACCATATTTTAAAAATTGCTTTTCAAGTCTTAGAGATTTTTATTTCAAACTATTTATTTGGTATTTTTAGGTAAAATTACAATCAGTTAATATCTAATGTAAATGAAGTATATCAATATTTTTCTTGTTTTGTGATAGCCTTGTCTTGCATAAGTAATAGTTATTAACAGATTTATTACAGGGAGACAATATTTTTAGTCTTTACAACTATCTTATTTAATCCTCACATCAAACTTGCATTATTTGTGTTCATTCTAAAAGTAAATTACCTGAAATATTGAGGATTTAAGTATTTGTCTAATCATCTAAGCAGGCAAGTGACAAATAGGGGTCAACCAAGACACTTTTATTAAAAAATATGAACTTTTATTCCACACGTCTATACTGAATCCTCCTTCTAAAGACTCCTTAATAATTATATGGCATAATAATTATAATTATTTATAACAATTGTATGTAAATATTATTTATAATTATAATATTATATCTACTTCTCTTGCATTTTACATGCTAGCATTTATATAATATTTTAATATCTATATTTTCAAATGATGCCAGTTTGACATTTTACTAGAGACTGTGGTCCAACAGAATCAATTCATAAATTTGTAGATTAGGGAGTAATGGTCTTTGAAGGTTGTAAAATCATTCATAATAAAAACAAGAGAATCTGATATTTTGGAGCGGGTAGGATTTGTGAAAATTTGTTATCATTTTATTCTTCATCTACTGGTTTATTTATATTCACTAGAGACTTTAGCTTTCCAAAGCAATGGCAGTTCTATTCATACCATTTGAACCTAAGAGCATTGCTATAAAGGCAGGTTTTATCATCCCCTCAAAGACAAAGAATTGAAGTCCAAAAAAGGCAATGCCCTTCAGGTTGCACACTTGCTTGGTAGTAGTACAGCTATGTACATGCTCCCAGGGTATGGGCCTGAGACTGAGCCCTGCTGACCCTGATGACATTCCTGTGGAAGCACCTGTACCTCTTCAAACTAACAGGAGAAAGAAAATATGGACAATGGTAAGCCTAAACATCCTATTGAGAAGACAATACAGATGGACTCAGGAGCACATTTTGAGTTCTGGGGTGGGCACTCTAACTTCTTCATAAATCATGCCACTAAGAAAACACTCATTCCATCTCATGTCCTGTGATGGGAAAGAGATGGCAGGGTTGGGGAATGATAACCCCATAAATGGGCCAACAAAATATCTGAGGTTGCCTTCAAAACAAAGAAAACACATTATCTCCCCAAACCTCATGACTCATCCACCTGGTTAAAGTGAGTATCGCTCTCTTCCCTCCATCATCTTAAGTGCATCTTACAGGCCATTCCCACTAACCATCTGCCCAGTGAGTGATGACTCACACAAAGCTTCTTGCTCATTGGTTCTTTTCTCAGAGTCCGTCCAATCCCAGGGTCGTAGGAGACTACTTTGGTTCATGGTTTCTGATATTTCACCCAGGAGCTCCATTCAGCAAGTCCTTCATTCCCTGACTGCTACTTTCTTCAGCTCACCAGCCTTTTCTAGTTCCGTGATGGTCCTGCAGGTCTCTGAGGCTTCCTGGGCAACAGCTCTGATGGTGTCTCTGATGGTGCTGTTCAACCCTGTAGTCCAGGGTATGGCCACTCCAGGTAAGAGCAGAGCAGCTGTTCTGGAGGGCCTGGCTCAGGGAACAACTCCTGAGGTCTTTCCTCTAGGGAACCAGACTTTGAAAAACAAACATGGTATCAGGGATGGGGTGCTACCACAGCCTCATGGCCTTCCCTCCCAGCTACAGAAAGCTGGTTACCTCCTTGTAACTGTCCAGCCAACCTGTTCTCTCTTCCAGGGACATAGGCACAATGAACAGGGGAAAGGTGCCAAGGTGGTGGTATGCTTGTGTCTTTTGGACAGTGGGCTGAGAAGTCTAGAATGACTTTAGGTGACAATGTTTCCAGAGAGTCGGGTCAGCAAAATCCACCTCTTGATTTCCTCATATCTCTATCACGGTTTGAGGGGACTCAGGTCACCCCAACAATTTCATGCTCAGGGAGAGTCCTTTCCACTCTCCAGAGTGGGACAGGAGCCCAGGCCCCTGGACAGCGATGACCACATGGAGAGGAAGGGGACAGGGCAGGTGATGGTTCTACCCCAGCAGCACTCTTGTTGAAGGTGATCCTTTCAATCTTCCCAGAGCTTGGTTATAGTATTAGAGAGAATTGAGATTTGTAGGAAGAGTGAGAGGAAGGTGTGTAGGTCTGTATAAAGGGGCTGAGTGTAGATTACCAGACAGCCAGGGAAGGAGAGGCCAAGGGAAGACTTCTCATGTTGCCTCCCCTGGCTAAACTGTATTATGGCTTCTGCGAACCACTGATTCTCTCAGAATGCTTCTTAACTCTGTGACCCCAATTCATACCCAATATCACAAGTGGAAGATCTATAAAATAGCTGTCTTAGTTTTCTACTAACACCTACCTTTCCTTCTCCAAGCCACCTTCTTTCAGACCCCTCCACTCCTGTCCTAGGATGTACTGTCCTCATTTCACTTCCTCATGTTCCTGGAGTAACAATTTGAATGTCCTGAGTCCAGTCCCCAGGGCCCCTCTCCTATCACACCAGGTCCACTTGCTGACAAGGGAGGGAGAATGTGCCCTTGTTAGTCACAGAGAGTTGCTGGGGCCAACAGCAAGACAGCTCAGCTGTGGCAACTGTGTCTTCAAAGTCCTGGGAATTGGAGAGGGATGACGCTGGGGAAAGAGGAGCCTGGAGGTGTGTCAGGATGACACTGAATCATGGCAGGAGGCGAGGGAGGCTGTGCCGGCCTCCATAGGAAAAGTTGTTCTGAGGGATGATGGGCAGTGGGGAGGAGTGAAAGGAATGACAGAAGTGGGGTGGACGGTGAGTGTGATGGTGTGAGGAGGAGGAGAGAGGAGAAAAGTGGACCCATGTTTGTAGGAGGATTGGATGAGGATGTACAAGTGTGCGGAACAGATTGAGAGTTGGTTTCCAGAGTAGCCTGCCCAAAACAAATGATCAATAATAACTGCAAGAGCCTGGAGGGAGGGTAGGCAGAGGGGGAGGGCAGACTATAATCCCCTCTTACTCTTCCAATTCATCACAGATCCCCACCTCAAACAGGGCAGAAGAGAAAGGCACAAGAGAGCAGGTTTTGGCTAAGGGGGCTGAGGGAAGAAAAGGCTGGTTAAGACCACCATGATGAGCAAGAGCCAACGCAGCAGATGGGCTCTAAGGAACCAGACTCAGTCGGCAACAATCTTTTGGCTCTGACAGATTTTTAATATATGCTCCCCCATCAGCACACCCACCACCCCAGGGCTTCAGGGCCACACTCCCGAGTCCCTGTCCCACCAGCTGGGCCTTCCCAGAAGCTTATTATGATTTGAGTCTTTGTGAACTTATTTTTATGTCACTTTTTCCCCAAGTAAAATTTATTTTTATGTCACTTTCCCCCAAGTAAAATCACTAGGCAGACAGAGTGACACACACTTGCAGTCCCAGCTATTCAAGTGGATGAGAAGGGAGCATCACTGGAGATTGGGAATTTGAGAGCAGCCTGAGCAACACAGCAGATGGTGCCTCAATACAAAGAAACAACAACAAAAAAAAAACTCACTAAGATAAAAGAGAGATGGAAAAAAACACAGTCAGCAACTAACCAACAAAACCTTTTTATTGAAGGTCTGGTCCACAACTCCCCTGGAGGTTTTCAAGTAGCTAGTGGCTGAATTGGTTCCTCCTTCCTATGTTCTTTAGTATTTTACTAGATTAAAGCAGAACACCATTGTAAAGGGATGGGAACTCCCATGTATTGAGCAGCACCAACACAAAGCTACAGGGTTTACATGTGTAACTTATTTCATTCTCACAGCAGCTCCTCACAGTCAATGGTGTTATTAGTATGTTTCACATTTCAAGAAATGGAGACTTAGAGCTGGGGGTGTAGCTCAGAGGTACAGTACTTGCCGAGCATGTGCAGTGCCCTGGGTTTGATCGCCAGCATTGCAAACAAAAATAAAAACAGAGAGAAAGAAAAGAAAGAAAGAAAAAGAGAGAAGGAAAGGAAGGAAGGAAGGGGGAAGGAGGGAAAGAAAAGAAAGGGAAAAGAAAAAGAAAGAAAAGAAATGAAGACTTACAAGGTTGTTTCTTGCCCAAGATCACATAGTAATACATTGTATTATGGGGACTTAAATCTGTTCATACCTGTATTGTGTTCTTTTTCTTTGACTGTATTGCCTCCATTATATCCTCCTGCAATTATTTTTTTTAGTATATTCTATCCTGGAAAAGACATTAATTCACTTACATCAGAGCTTTTTTCAAAATGTGCTCTGGGTAACTAAATTGTCAAGCATTCTACCTATGGTGTATGGTTTCTCATGAACAAAAAATGAAGGTTTCAAATTCCATCTAAAAACCCTCACATCACTTTTGTCTTCTTTGTAGGTATAATTGTATTTTTAAAGGTTAAATGCCTGAGCTGGGCATGGTGGTGTATTCCTATAATCCCAGCAACTCTGGAGGCTGAGGCAGGAGGATCACAAGTTCAAGGCCAGCCTCGGCAATTTAGAGAGGCCCTCAGCAACTTCTTGAGACCCTGTCTCAAAATAAAAACAGTTAGGGATGTAGCACAGTGGTGGAGTCCCCCTAGTTTCAATGCCCAGTACAGGAAGGAAGGAAGGCAGTCATTAAATTTTGCCAGAGAAAAGTTTCAAAATTATTTTTTCTAGACTGAAAAACACATGTTGATAAATGAGGAGGGGAAAAGGACAAACAGATTAAAATTACAAGATACACATTCAGAGCTGGGCAATTGAATAGGGAGAGGCAAGTGGTTAGAAGAGGGAGAAAGACTCTGGACTCGAAGGAATTAGGAGCAATGGCCAGGGGACTCAGAAGCTGAGACAAAAGGGACCAGGAAAGGAGCAAGCCAGGATATCTAAGCCAAGCATGGCTCTTGCCTTAGCTACTGTGGACTAATGGCCTGTTGGTGGCCTTGACGCCCCACCCATCCCTTTTCTGTTCTCTTCCCTTAACTCTGTAGTTTCTGAGGTGGAGGTAAGACAGAATTCCCTAGAAGACCAAAGCTATTCTGGCCACCACTGTGTGACAGGGGGAATGATCAGATCGCCCCACAATCACCCCCATCTTGCTCCTGGAAACTCCAGGCCTATTTTATTCTTCAGGAAGCCTCCCCAGTGTCTGGGGCTAGAGCAGGCAGCGCAGCTTCATCTAGGGCTTTGGGCCCCTGTCTTTGACTTTAACCTCTCCCAGTTCCTCTCAGTCTCCCCCTGACAAGGTGAAAAACAGGCGAGCATCCTATTTCAAAATGGTTTTGTAGTCCCACCACATTTGGGCTCAGAAGCTGTGTGATTGATTGGATCTGGCATTTTAACTTCTGATGTCCTTTCTAATGAGGTAACAGGCTGACCCCATTAAAACATACAGAATATGCTGGTTTAGAGCTCCCTCTTGTGGCCCCGACATATCATTCATTTCATTTGTTGGTTCAGACATTTACTGATAAAGAAAAAATGTAGAGAGCTAGGTTAGATGTTGGATACATAAAAAGAAAACAGTAAGTATTTGCCTTGAGATGTTAATCTATACAGGATGTAAAAGACATGCAAAACAATCACATCACCTTGTTTCCTCCAATGAGAACAGGCCCAAAGAGACAAACAGAAATAAATAAAGAAAGAAATGAAAGAAAACATGAAAGATCACTGTTACTTCTGTGGAGACTGCATTTACCAAACGATGTAGGTAGCTCTCTAAGAAGTCCAGTGTGAGGGAGGCTACCATGTTTCTTTACATAAAAACTGTATCATCAGCTGGCTGTGATGGCTCCTGCTGGTAATCCCAGCAGGTTGGAGCTGAGATAGGAGCATTACAAGTTCAAAAGCAGCCTCAGCAACTTAGCAAGTCCCTGTCTCAAAAAAAGAGAGAGGCCTGGGGATGTGGCTCAGCGGTTAAGTACTGCTGGGTTCAATCTCTGATATAAAAAAAAAAAAAAAATCATCTATGAGTCCAGGAACAATAGAGCCCACCTCAAGGTCTCTGGGTGTTGTGATTTTCATTGATTAAGATCCATTCCACATCTGTGAGAACACTTTTTCTATAGTCATCTTTGAAAAATGAAAAGCTACATTAACTTTTAGGATAGATGGGCTTTCTTTATACTGAGCTTTAAGAAAATTTTAGGAAATTTCGATCTACATTCCCAGCATGCAGAACAAGAGTAAACTGAGTTATATTCAAGATACTGGCACAGAGGAAAGAACATCTCGCTGAGGAAAAGAGAAGGAAAGAAGGGAGGGCTTCCTGGAGGAGGTGACATTGAACTAAGTTTTTCTACAGGATGGCAGGGTCAGGCTCAAAGCCCGGATAGGGACAGCAGCACCACTCTCTCCCCAGCTCCTCCTGCCCCCGCAGTTTCTCTGTCTAGGGGACTTTGTGCTGTAGTGAGGCTCTGCTCCTCCTGTGACCCCACGTGAAATATCGCCCTCCTCCGGCCTCCGCAATATTGATGGCTTCCCAGAGTGCCCGCGCCTTCCTAAAGGTCACTGGGTCACCCTCGGCAGAGGGTCACAGTTACTCAGTAGAACCTCTCATGTTACGGTGAGGAAAGGGGGGCTGGATCCGTTCCGTGATCTAAAATCCAGGGCTCGTTATTGAAAAAACAAACAAACAAAAAGATGGGATTTAAAACCCAACCCTGGTGGGTAAATATAACCCCGCGTGCACCGGGGGCCATGAAGAGCGGGGGCGGGGGCTCCAGGAACAAGGTCGCCGCGTCTCCGGGCGGCTCTGGGCCCTGCGGCCTGGCGGGCGGCCCGAGGGTCCAGGCCGGGTCCTGGCGTCAGGGCTGACCCGAAGCCGAGGGGCCAGCGGGCGGGGGTCGCGGGGCGTGGCGGCTGCTGGGCTCGGCCCGGAAGGGCGGGACGGGGACAAGGGAGGGGGTCGCTCGGGCCGTGGGGCCGTGGGGTGGCGGGTGTCGCGGGCCCCGGGAGTGGCAGCGCCCGGGCTCAGCGCCGTCCTGCTCCCCGCAGAGAATTACGTCTTCCAGGCACGGATGGACTGCTACGCCTCCCACGGGACGCAGCGCTTCGTGGAGAGATACATCTACAACCGGCAGGAGTACGTGCGCTTCGACAGCGACGTGGGGGAGTTCCGCGCGGTGACCGAGCTGGGGCGGCGGGACGCCGAGAACTTCAACAGCCAGAAGGACGTCCTGGAGGAGAAGCGGGCCATTGCAGACACTGGGTGCAGACACAACTACGAGGTCATCGAGCGCTACACGGTGCAGCGCCGAGGTGAGACCTAGGGCGGGGTCGGGCGCTGCGGGGCCCAGAGCAGCCACCGCCGCCACCAGGGCGGGAAGGGGACTGTGGGGCTGGGGGAGTGCGGGAGGGCCAATCCCGAGCCGTGTGCGGGGCGAGGGCGAGGACCCAAAGTGCTGGACGGGAAGCGAGGAAGGTGGAATGGAGGGAAGCCAACCCCGAGATCATCAGGCGGAGCCACTCACTAGCTGGGGAGTGAGGGGAAATGAGGCGACAGGATAACTTGTCGCGGGTAGTGGGAAATGGAAACCGAAACGCCACCTCTGGAAGACACCCTGGGAGACCGTCGGATTTGAGAGCCTGAGGGACGCCCGCCCGCCGCTGGATTTCCTCTGGACAGGAACAGGAGGGTCTGCAGCTGGGAAGGAAGATCTGGGCCTGTTGACATCTGCTAAAGAGGCGGAATCCAGTGGGAAGAGAGTAAAGGGCTGATCCCAGGAACACAGACATTTGAGATGTTACCTCAGAGAAAAAAAACAAGCAGAACAAGAAGAGTGGGGTTAGAAGAACCAAGGCAGAGAAGTGTCACAGAAGCTGAGGGGGTGATAGCAGTCAACAGTGACACCAACGACTTCAGAAGATACGTAGATAGAGGTTGAAAGGCGGGCTTGGAAACCAGGGAGAGCAGATTGTCTGCAGCTTGGGAGCAGGAACTGAACCAGGCGGGCTGAGAAGTAAGAGGACAGGGGGAGGCTGAGCATGGAGCAGAAGCTCCTTGGGGCTGAGATGGTATTTATCTAGGATTCTCGGGGTTGTTACTGAGTAGTGTTTGCGTTGAATGTGCTAATCCTTCAGGAAACCTGAGTGTACAGGTGAGAAGACAGGTGAGGTGTCTCTGGAGCCAATACTTTTTGAGGACTTTTCAAGAGCCTGAGGCTTGTGCAATAGCATGGAGGGGTGAGGGGTGAGCCTTCAACAGAAACAGGGACACTTGTCATGTAGAAAAGGAAGAAGGGTAGGAGAAGGGAGAGACTGTGGGAGGGCTCACCTTTGAACTCTTTCTCTCTCTCTCTCTCTCTCTTTTTTTTTTGAAAGTGGAAATCAATGTTATCTGCTAAGAGTAAGGATGTGAACCAATTGGTAAGAATTATGAGAGTGACATGACTTTAGAAAAGTTGCTGAAGTAATTAGGTAAGAAAATGTCCAAAGGCAAGAAATAGGATTGGCAATAATTACAGGGCCAGACCATTAGTGTGTAGGGACACAACCTTCTTTGTGGCATAATTCATTGTCAGTTCACAGAGAGCCCTGGTGTCAGTCTGAGGAGTTTGGTTTAGTCACCTAGATCACTAGGTCCCTAACTAGCTCTACTCAGCAGAGTCTCCTGAAGATCTTTAAAGCACAGATCTTTAAGGCACTAGAATCTCTGCCCAGAGAATCACATTTTGTAGGTGATGAGATCAGGAAAACTATATTTTTAATTGATCCCCAGTAATTCTTATGTAACCAGGTAAGTGTTGCCAGACCCCAAACCTCAGGATTTTGGTTTGTTTCTCAGGTAGGAAATGTCAAGGCCAGAGTTCCGTTTTCAGAGAGTGTTCAATGGGTTGGAAAGAGGAGTGCCTGAAGTCAGAAAGATAGAATAAGAAAACGTTGTTATTGTCAAGGAAAAAGTAGTAGAGCATGGATTATAAGGAGAAGAAAAGAGAGGAAAGGGAGAATGAGTGTTTGGGAATTTGCAGTGTGAACGCCTAACAAAAATTCTAGAAGTAACTGAACAGGTATTTTGTGGGCATTGAAAAAAACAGCCTTAGACTACATGGGAATATCTTGCCTTTATGAAAGGTATTTTGAGCTGGAGAAGAAATAAGACCATTGGTTTACAGACCTAGCTCAAGTGCCCCCAGATGTCAGTTGTATATTCTAGGCACAGTTCTTCATGGAATGTTCTGGGCCTTAAAATAGTCATGCAGATAGAGCCACTGACTTGCATGAGGCCCAAGAGACTTAAGGGAGAGAAATTTAACCAAATTCACAAACTGAGACAGGAGCCGAACATCTGATGAACTGTGAGTCTATAAAAGTGGTCAAAATAAAAGATATCCCTGAAAATAAAGTATCTATGAGGGAGAAGACTGGCAGTATTGGAGAAGTCCGAACAGGAAGTCAAGTTGTTTAAGGAGACAATAGGTTTGGGGATACCTCAAGAACATGCTGTTACCTGACCCTGTTCCACCTCAGCATATTTGTTTTTCTTGGAGTAGAAATTAGAAAAAAAAAAAAAAAAGAAGTAAATTATTAGGACCTAGAAGCTATGATGTGGGAAATTTCCCTGAACAGGCTTTCTCTAGAGGCACATGGATCTTGCCTGGCCTCTGGAGAGCAGGAAGGCCTCTGAAGGTGGTAGATGTTGAGGAGTCGTAACTATCAGGAGGTGTCAGGAGGTGACAGGAAGTAGACAGCAGTATGGAAATGGACATATGAGCAGCAGAAAAGATGGATGAGGGAAGAACAAGGAGAGGAAGGTACATCAGAGAGATACAGAGATATAGACAACATCTGCACTTGAGGGCTCCATCAGGCAACCCAGAAAGACTTTGCAGAGGAGAAACTTGGGAACAGACTGAAATTCCTACTAACCAAACAGATGGGGATCAGAATGTTGCACTTGAAAATAAGACTGTAGATTTGAAGATCTTGAGGTTTTGTAGGTAAGGGAGAGCATCAAATATATAGGCTATTTGAAAAACAAGTCATCGTCAAATTTGTTTCTTGTACTTTTAATGTTTGGGATATAAACTTAGATTGGCAGACCGAGAGAATGTCATTGCCTTTATAACTTCATGAAATTATTTGACTAAATTTTGCATCCATTTCATCAAGATACAACATTGAGAAGACAGGTAGTTTCACAGCTGAAGAAGGATTGTTTATCAAAAGACTTAATCAATCACTCATAATTTAAATTTCTACTAAAATTGCAACAAAGTGCTGCTTTTGTGTTGCCCCAACCTTGCCAATCTTTCTTTATCATATAACTAATAATTATGTATATTCCCTTTGAAGGCCTATCTCCATATTTTTAGTATAGCAGGTATCCACTAACCCAATTATGACATTTGTATCTTAAATATATAAAAACCACTTCCCTAATGAAAACATCTAAAAAATAATAATCTCAAATATCATTCCTTTTATTTCTCCTAGTCCAGCCTAAAGTTCATGTGTCTCCCACCAAGAAGGGGACCCTGCAGCATCACAACATGCTTGTCTGCCACGTGACAGATTTCTACCCAGGCAACATTAAAGTCCGATGGTTCCTGAATGGACAGGAGGAAACAGCTGGGGTTGTGGCCACCGAACTGATACGAAATGGAGACTGGACCTTCCAGATCATGGTGATGCTGGAGATGACCCCCAAGCAGGGAGATGTCTACACCTGCCATGTGGAGCACCCCAGCCTGAACAGCCCAGTCACTGTGGAGTGGAGTGAGTTACCCTGAAGTGACCTTCTAGACCCCACATTCTGAGATGCAGGGAACAAATTGGCTCCAGGGTCCACTCATCTTGTCTTATGTGTGTGTACACTGGGACCATTTCCATCCACTTGTAGTTATAAGCTAGAGGCAGTGGAGACTAACCTGTCCCTGGGGGTCAAGATCTCCTTGCTTAACCTTTTACCCTGGTCTCTGTTATGTTGAAAGGCAGCTGCCAGAATCAGCATCTGTCATCCTGTTGAATTCACCACCCTAAGTCTAGAACGAGGGGGTTCTTTCTTTCCTCCTCCTCCTCAGTGGACCCTCTCACTGTCCTCTGCTGACCTCCTGCTCCAGCTCCAGGATCTCAGACAAGACCCAGGA